GAGACCCTGAAGAGAGAGGGTTTGTTATCTACGACGACGGCGGAAAAGAGAGGGACGTCGCCCGGGGCTGCGGCCGTCAACGGGACGGCGGGCAAGGCGCTGCGTGTTGCGGGTGGACCCGGCGTCGCGTCCCCTGGCAAAAAGGGCTTAGCAATGTGGGCGCCGCAGGAGCTGTCAAGCCGAGAGGGTGGACGCAACGTGCGGGTAGTTGCGCGGGAGCGGCGACCGAAAATGCTCGGCTCTTGGGCGCCTTCCTTTTTGCTGCTTTGTGAGTTCCCCGAGGGCGGGGGAGGAATTTGGTTGGGCTGCGGTTTGCCGCGGCGGATGCGCAGCACAACACTACCGCCAGCGCAGCAGCGGCCCAGTGAGTAAAGGACGAGGTATATTTTAAACTGTTTCCGATGGATGTTCGTGGGGGAAATGATTTACGTGGAGCGTGCATGGAGGACGCTCCAACACGCACGCGGCGCGGCGGTGCCGCAATTCCGTGGATTTGGGCGGCGTTGGGGGGGAAGTGAGTGTGGGGGGATGCAGCAGCGGACTGCGTTTCTGCGGAGGTGCTGCAAGGGACTATTTTTTTAAATTATATATATTTGTGTTTGTGCTTATTTACCGGCGGGCTGCGCTGCTGCGGGAAAAAGAGGCGCTGTGTCCCGTGACCTCGCAGCAGCACTGTTTTTAGTTTCATTTTTTTTTCTTTCCTCAAAAGCCCTGGCACTACCAAAGACGACCTGCGTGGGGCGGGGCGGAATAAATTTCTCCTCGTGCGGCTGCAGGGCGCTGCCGCCTTGTCTTTTCCCTCTCCTTTCTTCTTCCTGCTCTCTCTCCGTCGTACTCCACCTCGGTCCCCATTTCTCTCTCTGTTTCTTTTTCTCCGCTCCCCCGCAGTCCACTGACTCCAGCGACTCTGTTACCCCACGATCACTTTTTTTGCTGACGGCGAGGATGGCGACGGTGCGGCGCCGTGCGGTGTGCGCGTTGGCGCTCCTCGCGCTGCTCTGCGGCTGCTGCGCCGTCGTTTGTCTGC